AAACAACACGACTAAAACGGCTTAATAGTCTAGATTTATTTTGACTAGTTTCTCTTTTACAAAATTCTCTGATTTTTATTTTTATTTATGACATTCTAATAAAGATGGTTGAGGAAAAAAAAAATAATGATAATATAAATTTTTTAAAGTTTTGTTAATAATGTTATAAATTTTAAATGATGATAAGGATGATTGCAAGAGAGCACGCTTATAGTGATGGCCTCCTGCCGCATCAACATCCATTTCCAAGGAATCCCTTCTCTCTCCCTCTCTCTCCCTCTCTCTCTAACTCGTACTTTGATGCAATAGATGAACATCATGGTTAAACATGATAATAGGCAAAATATAATGAGTGATAATCATCATTAAAATTTACATACGGGCATGAAATCTACCTCACCATGTGAGCCACCTATAGTTATTAATCCAAAATGTTCTAATCACTCTAAACAATAAATATTAATGATAATTATTATTACTATAATGCTAATATAAGAAATTTGCATACATACCATGCAATTCTTATTAATTACTCCTCTAATATCTAAACTTTCCTATTTATAATTATATTGTTTAGGGTCCTAAATAAGCAATAATGATAATTTAGGTATACAAATACAATGAATTGTAATAATAATAATAATCAGATGCAATGAGGTTATGCCCAATGGGGAATTAAATTTTAAAATCTCTTTATATAAATAATAAAAAATCATAATTTTTATGTAATTTGGTAATTTTGCCTTCTTTCAATATATATAATTTTTAGCTCAATATTAAAAAATTAGACATTTAATGATTTTATCCTCAAAAAAATAAGCCTCTTTATTAAAAAAAAATTAAAAAAATAGTTGAAATAATTAGTTTAAGCTCTACTCGTTAAATAAAACGTGCCAATTATTTTTATAATTTACCATGCACTATATAAATTATGCTTATTTAAATATTAAAAAAATACTATATATATAAATATTATAAAGCCATAGAGATATTATAAAACCATAGAGAATACAGCGATGCATTGCCCCTAGACAGGCGCCATGCCATACAATCATGTTTTGTTGGACGGAATATGGAGCATTTATCGTGAGTTGTAAACAAGATATGGTTTTTTTAGGTTGGTGCAACCTAGGAGAATAATCCTTATCTACACTGGACATTTGTTCAGAAAAATAAAAATATATATATAAAATAGAAAAATATTAAAATAAATTAAAATAATAAAAAAATAAACCTGTGACACGACTGTTTATACATACTACCACATAAAATTTAATTTTTGCATAATATGATAATATTTTTGATATAATATGATAATATAATACATACTACCAATTCATATGTATTTACATATCTGAAATCTAAATTTTATTTTTACATGCATGCCACCTTTGTATTAATTCACATTTTAAAAATTTGATGATATTTTTTAATGTAATATGAAAGATTTTGAGTGTTATAATTATAAGTATGCGTGTAAATACCCCTAAGAAAATATATCGAAATTGAGTGGGCATGTAAACAAAAGATGCCTTAATTTAAACCCACTGAATAGTATAAACTATATATTTTATTTATGATGATAGCCCCATTATAGTGATTTTTTATCTTCCATTTAAAAATATTATCAAAGCTTCTTTAATAATTAGTATATAAATATAAAAACCAAAGATTAACATACATATACGACCACACTTAAGCAAGACATTCCACTTTTTAAAGTGAAACTAATTATATTTTTTATTTAATATGAAATTATTGAGTGGTATTATATAAAAACTAAAATTTAAGTGTGAAACTCTAATTTAAAAAGAAAAATTTACATATAACAACAAGTCTTTATCTCACTAAGTGGGGTGTTACATGAATTCGTTTCCTCCATTATGTGCTATTGAGTGTCACATTCTCACATAGGTCTAATAAATTAAGATCATATTTTTATACAACATGGCCTAAACTTTTTAGGTCTACCTCTACCTTAGTTAACATAAGTCAAATATAAAATATCTTCTCTCCTAGCAGGAGCATCAGATGGCCAACATTTAATGTGACCAAACCATATACGACAGGCTCACTCGAATCTTGACTGCCACCACACCAATCCCTTCATGAATATATTTGTTTCGTAGATTGTCTCTATGTGCAAAACCAATCATCAATCCCAGCTCTCTCATCTCATCAACACTTTACTTAGTTTTATACTCCTCTTTTAAAGGTCAATAACATTCTGCATCATAAAACATTGCAGGTTAGCATGGCTCAGCACCATCTTATAAAATTTGCCTTTTCCAAGTCTAAACATTACTTTTCCGTCACACAACATTGCGATTATCGAGCCTTAAGCTTCAAGCCTCAAATAGGAAAAGTAGAAGGTTGTATTAGATAGAACATGAACCCTTTTAAAAAAATAAGGTTTACATACATACCATTTAAATATTGCATTGTATTTAAATCAAACAAAGAGTTTTACATATGACACATAAAAATATGAATTTCATATTTTAAAAAATAAAAATAGTAAAAATGTCATATGATAAAGAAAGATTTGGACGGTATAAACATAAACAAACAAAATATGAGCATTAGATATACAATTGCGGGGGAATTGGGTGAGTGGTATGTATGTAAATGGCACTATAAAAATAATTTAATAAAAGAAAAAAAAAAAAAGGTGGGTGGGGGTGGGGGGATATAGACTGGAGAGGCGTGCGATGGTCAGGAGGATAATGATAAATGGCGAGCGATATGATCGGAGGCATGATGAGGAATCAGGAATGGGGGGAGAGGGGGCAGCGCATACTCACCTTCCCACCTCGCACGCGCGCACAACCCACCATCGCCGAATCATCCTCAGAAACCGTGCTCACTTTCTCTCTCTTCCCTCCCTCCCTTTTTATTCCAATTCTCTCTCAAGCTATTGTGGTCCTCCTCCATCTTCCCTGCATTCTTTTTTTCTCTCAGGGCTTATTGTGTAAAGTATTCCAATCTGTAAAGTAACTAAAACAAAAAAAAAATGGTGTATTTACATACATACCTCTAAACTCTTATGTATTTACATATCAAGACTTAAACTTTATGTACATACCCACCTTACCTTTGCATAAAATGCTAAAGCACATGTGAGTAATTGGGAAAGAGATAAGGTAATGAAGAGATTAGGAGACCGATAGTAACAACAAAAATATACTATCTATTTTTTTCTGTAGAGAGAGAAAAACAAAAAAAGAGAAGATGCATCTAACACCAAAGTATTGGTATTTACATGCACAACGCTCAATACTTTAGCATCACATCGAAAACACTAATATCCTCTTATGACTTTAAATGAACCAATGAGCTCAATGAACAACTCAACTAGATCTAGTTCTTTCAAATTAGTAAATAAACAAACTAGAAACAAATTTTAAAAGCTCGAAGCTTAAATAAAGTAAACATGAACATAATCGAATTTATTCATTTATGTTCACGAACAAACTCATTTGTTGTTCAACAAGTAACTTGTTAAATACTCGATATATTACTCGATATTAAGCTCGATGGTAGTTTGTATCATATATGATATATTATTTAAATAAAATTTAATTAACTAAAATCTTAACTCATTTGTTAATAGCTCGCATCATATATGATATATAAATGCTTGATATTCAATTTATTTAGGTTTTAAAGTTGTCATTTTTATTTGTTTTGTAAAATATAGGTTTAATCATGCTTAAATGTTATAAAAATTATTCTACTAAACATCTCATGAGCAAGAGATTTAGGGCAAAATGAAGCATAAACGAGATTTAAGATGATGTAGGGTTCAAAATTTATAATCAATAATTTAATAGCTGCGATCAAATTTGTAAATTTATTTATTAAATTTTGTATGAAAATCTATATACTTGTTTGAATTTTTAAATCGGTCATTAACTCGTTTAAATTACTCGCTCACTTGTCATAAATAAATTAAGTCCAAATATTGAAAAATTTAAACAATTCAAGCTTGAACAATAAATGAAAGCTCCATACAAGCTCAAGTCAAACATGAACAACTTATAATTATACCTAGCCAAGTCCGAACTATGATATACTCATCTCGATTGCAACCGTATGATCCTCATCTTTTTAAAAGTTAAATTATTGAATACTGATTTGTCTGTGATTCAGACACCAAGAAATAAAACGTAAGATAGGAGGAGAAAGAGAGATGAGTGAATAATAATATTGTCAATCGTGCTACCTTTCATGACCTTTAATGGAGGTTGTACAGGGTATTCTTGGTATTTTACAGATATAAGCCCATCGCTCAACTACTCTCTGGTTCGGTAGACTTGAGCTTGTTTAACTTCAACTCGGCAGGGTCAATTCAGTCGGTTACGCTTAGTCAGCGTTATTAGTCAGTTGAGCTTGATTGGCTTTAGGTCGGTAAGACTAGTTCAGTCGACTGAGTTAGTCTGACTGTCAACTTTTGATAATAGAATGAGAGCTTATGAATATCCTCAATATGAATGGAGATGCTGACGGGCTAGATTTTCTCTCAAGTAGGCTTCTTCATGTCGATTGACTTGGATGCATTTGTCTTGTTTTTTACCGTATGTATCATTCTGTCCTCTTTCGTGATTTGGTCGGATTTAACCTTGATGACTTTGGCTCGGACAACTGCATTAATTGGATAAGTGGATCTCATAATTTTCTGTCAGTGGGCTATCTTTCATCGTATCATTCTTCTCCGAACCGTTACATGTCCTCTGGATCAACGTTGATATATTTTAGATATACAGAAATACAAATATTTCATGTATAAATCTATGCCACAAAAGTGTTATCAATGTAAATAACAAACTTCAAGTATTAGATATGTAAATACAAAAGAATTGTGGTATGTACCTAAATTACCCTCTAGACAAATCTAATAGAAGAATAAGTTTAAACATTAGATATTCTAATCTTCGAATTAAAATATTTCCATCAATGCCGCAGCGTGCGCTCTCCGAGCCTATAAAAGAAGCCCAGATAGCAAACTCTAGCTGTCGCTCTTCATCCCCAAGCGTTCAGTTTTGGTACTTTTACCTCCTTTTACCCTCCAGCGAGATTTCCGCCTGCTCTCTCCTCTGTATCTGCTTCCCTGTTGGCTAAAAAGAAAGAAACTGTCTTCTCTCATCTAGAGACCGAGAAAATGGGGGATATTTCAAGGTGTAATGGTAATGGAACAGTGGTTGGGGAATGCCGCAGGAAGAGCTTTTGGTATGAGGAGGAGATCGAGCAGAATTTGAGATGGTGCTATGCTCTTAATGGGTCTGTGTTCTTCTATTAAAACTCCCAAAATCAATAATCATCCCCCCCTCTTTCTTAATTTGTTTCAGTTTGTAATATCTATTTGAACTTACATGTTAGTTGTGTCATTTATGTTCAGAATTCTGCACTCTGGAGAGAGTCAGTATCAAGACATTGCGTTGCTGGACACAAAACCTTTTGGAAAGGTACACGAAATGGAACTACTAACTATAAAGTTCAAAAGAGGCATTTACGTTTATATCATCCATTTCTTATGTACTAACATATCTGAACATTAGTTTTTATATAAAAAAAAACACCATTTTTTAAATTTTAAACAAGATAAATTAACCCTCTCATGCATCGGTGAGGTGACATGTATGCAAAAATCAAAGTTTGGATGTTAGATATGTAAATATATGTTTTAACTCCTGGTATCTTCTTGCATAGCAGGCTTTGGTGATTGATGGAAAGTTACAGAGCACGGAGATAGATGAGTTCATCTACCATGAATGTCTTGTCCATCCAGCACTACTCCATCACACTAAGTATAATATTTTCATACTCATTGCTTTCTAGGGAATCAGATTTGGCTGTATGTGTTCTTGTTCTGCTATCAGACAAATGATACTTGATATAAATCTTTCGTTTTGTTTATGACAGGCCTGAAACAATCTTTATAATGGGAGGAGGAGAGGGTTCTACGGCAAGAGAAATTCTTAGGCACAAGACAGTGGAAAGGATTGTTATGTGTGATATAGATGAGGTAAGAATGACCCTTGCTGCTACACCAAATCATTTTGTTACATGGGTATGGTTGAATAAATAATTAAATATCCATCACTTGTTTAAGGGACTATTCTAGAGACATAATTTTCTTTCTTTTATTTTATTTTATGGGCATTTACACACGTAACCCCCAATTGCTACGCATTTACAAATCTAGCACATAAACTCTAACATTTACATCTATAGCACCCAAATCTTTCAGTTCACATTAAAAAGACCACCATTTTAAGTTTAAAAAAATGAAATACACCTTCTCATGCATAAGCAAGGCAGTATGTATATTGAAATTGACATAAAAACCCAGTCCAATTCCTTTGTATTTTCATAGCTAAAACTTAATACTTCACTTTTTACATAATAATACCACCATTTTAACTTTAAGGAAGTGAAATACATATTCACATGCATAGGTAAAGTAGGTGTTATGTAAATGCTTATGACTTGAGTTTTATGCAAGTAATCTTCCTATGGGTGGATATTTTACATTCATTAATGTTACAGGAGGTTGTAGATTTCTGCAGATCGCATTTGGTTGTCAACAGAGATGCCTTCTTTAATTCAAGGCTTAAGCTTGTCATTAATGATGCCCGGTAATAACCTCTCACCACATAAATACAAACAGTTCTTTTTCTTAAATGTATAATTTGCCAACCAAACAAATTAAGTACCTAAACAGATCAAATATTATGGGGTTGTGCTGCTCTTATGTAGCGAAGTGTGAAAATTAACTTCACTTGCTTGCAATACACTATTAATCAAATTTTAACATAGTGCTGTTCATTAGTTTCAAAACTAAAGACTTAAAAGCTATAAAATCCTGTTTCTGACAGAGCTGAGCTTCTAAAGAGGGAAGAGAAGTTTGATGTTATCATAGGGGACTTGGCAGATCCCATTGAAGATGGCCCTTGCTATCAGCTTTATACCAAATCCTTCTATGAATTAATCCTGAAACCCAGACTTAAAGAAGGCGGTATTTTTGTCACACAGGTATTTGCCTATTTATGTGGTTATTTCAAGTTTTTGCCAGACATACTATTTCTTATTTTACAATTTATATGCTTTTGCAGGCTGGACCAGCGGGAGTGTTTAGTCATACAGAGGTCTTTTCCTGCATCTACAACACACTAAGGCATGTTTTCAAATGTATGTGGGCAAGCATTGAAAATTTTTGTTGTCTTCTGGTTTTCGGTTCCATACAATTTTCGGTGTCATAAGATAATAGTTCGGTTTTGTTTTTTTAATGTAGATGTTGTGCCTTATTCAGCTCACATCCCTTCATATGCTGATACATGGGGTTGGATCATGGTAAGCTGAGCATAGCATTTAGCTCTAAGAAAGGAGATTTGCATCCATAGCGCACACAATTTTTTTATTTGCATACATAGCGCTATGGCACTATAACCCTTTCCTTGAATGAAAAGTTGTATTTGTTTTTTAAAAAGTGATAACAGTGCTACTATTTATTTGATATTGAAGATCTGAGTATCATGTGTGTAAATTATAAAGTTAAGGTGTGAGATTACAAAATACTTCTGCTATGAATGTAAAAGCTCCTAAAATTATATTAAATTGAAGAATTATTCATATTGATCCTGTCAACGGTACCAATCGTATGGATGAAAGAATTAATTGAATCTTGTAAATCTACAGGCATCCGATTCACCATTCACCTTGGACTCGGATGAACTTGATTCCAGGATAAAGCAAAGGATCAATGGTGAGAATAGATATCTAGATGGGAAGACCTTTGCGTCCGCCTCTCTTCTCAGCAAAGCTGTCAGAAAATCGTAAGACTCGCCAGTTTTGTTATAGTTATTTCTTTTTTAAATTTCATCCTAGTGTTTATTGATAACTTTGTTCTCAGGCTGGACAAGGAAACACAGGTGTACACTGAAGGCACTGCAAAGTTCATCTATGGGCATGGGAGTTGCCACAAGATACATTGAGGGTTGCGGTGGGAGATGAATCAGCAGTGGAAGCCATGAATTAGGGGTGATTCCAATGAGTATAATCTGTCATCAATGTGGCCAGAAGTATTGGCCTTAAATGTTCCAACTTATCTAACTTACTGATAGTATTAGAACTCTGTATTAGAAAGTTTATTATTGCTGAACGAAGGAAATTTGTCTACTTATATTAGCTTGCTAATCAAAATCTACAGTAAAATCTATTAGTTACAAAGTTTTGCAGAATGTTTTTAGTACAATCTCACCTTCGAGTTGACCTCATCCCACATAAACTAAAGGAAGCCCAATTGAGAAGAACTGTATATCTTAATTAATTTATTTAGCAAAATTTAAGTCAAATTATAGTTTTTGGAACTCATTTTAAGAGCATTGTACTGTGAATAATAAAATGTTCTTTTCCTTCATATCTTATCTTTGAAATGAATTTTTTTTGTTACATTCTCCAGCAATTTTGAAATTTATTGGAGTAGAATTCTTTACAACCTAGAGGGATTGCTACCATTCAAGTTTCTTTATTTTTATCTAAATTAGTTATTAGTGTTGAATTCTATTAGGATTAGTTAAAAATTTCTATTTGTTCAAATATTTACTAATATTTAAGTAAGCGTTGTTTGTATAGACGACGTTAAAATTTTCTTCTGATCTCCCCCTCCTATTGTTTCTATGTTGACTCTCCTTTTCCCCCATAATCTCCGTTTTATAAGCTCCCCTACCTAAATCAAATTAATATTTTTTTCCCACATGCTTGGTTTTTGTTTTTAGTATGAAAGCGCTTGTCATGGTTTCAAATGAGATGATTTTCAGTATGATACAATAACAATTTTTTCTGTTACAAGTGACAATGGTTGCTCAAGCCAATGACTTGCATTCAACCACAATGTCTAATTGAGGCAGACATTGCAACAAAATTTAGGATTTTAGAATGGTGTTTTGTACAAAGAGGCCTGATCAATTAAAAATTTTAATTACAATGGAGCATATAGTGAATTAGATGGTTTGGCCACACATTACATGTTGACCATCTAATGATCCAGTTACATGTTTTAGATTCGACTTATGCTAAGAAAGACAGAGGTAGGACTTAGAAAAACTTGACCACATTGTATAAAATATGATATTAATTTATTAGAATTAAAGGGAAACATGACACTCAATAAGAAAATTGAGAAAAAAAAAGGATTAATGTAGCTGACCCCACTTAGGAGGATAAAGGCTTGTTGTTGTTGGAGCATATAACGAAAATTGAGGGGGGGAAAAACAAGATATAAATCTCCAAAAGAGGTGAAAGAGGGGCCTCGAGTAAGGGAAAAACAAATCAAAGGTAAAAATTTTAAGGGCAAACCAAAACTTCGGAAATTACAAGTTTAATTAATCAAAGAGTTATAATCAGTGTGATCATTATTTGTATGGGTCAATTGTCGCTAGCACCAAGTAACCAAGGTACCAAATAAGATATGAATCCTAAAGCTCTAAAAAAATAAAAATTAAAACCAACGTCCGTTAAATCATTTTCTCTTGTTCAATTTTACGACATAAATTTAGATTTACTAAATCTAATTGCGATGCTGATTTATTTCATCGTTGCTCGCGAGCTCCTCCATTGCGCACTGAATTTGATAAATCTGTATTTATTGGATTTTGATAAAGCATATTTAATTTAAATCTAAGTTGCAGCCAAACACCGCCTTCCAAGTGATGATTAGACTGAATTTGAAGTAATTAGACTCATAATGTGGCTGACCTAATGACTAAGAAATGCAGAGAAAAGAATATTAATGATGCTTGCACTAAGAATAAGGCAACCAAATCAAAGAGTACAATTCTGAAACCCATCATTGACGATACATAGGAGGTCATAGTTTTGGAAGATTAACATTCATAACATTCAATTCCTATGTATTTACACATCCAAAACCCAAAGTTCAATTTTTACATGCAAACCACTTTACCTATGCATGAAAAGGTGTATTTAACTTTTTAAAAGCTAAAATTGTGGTATTTTTGATGTCATATGAAAAATTTGGCTAGTATAAATATAAAAAGTAAACTTTAGGTGTTATATATGTAGATACATAGGAATTGGATGTTATGCAATCATCAGTCCTGCTAATCAAGTGCTCTTAAAATTTGCGAAGTTATAGTGCAATTCTGAGACCAAAAAATGGAAGTATACTGATGAATCGTAAATATTTGCTCGTTAAAACCACTTCAGCTTATAACCAAAAGACCACATCATAATTGGAAATATTTTTGTGCTGTTTTTCTTATTTATTATCTGAAATACATCATAAATAGTAAACTTAAGTGTTAAATTGTTTTAGGATGGCTAGGAGCTCTCATTTAATCCAAATTCTTTTTCAGACACCTTTATTGATTACCTTAGTTCTTTATTAGTCATAAATCATGTCATAGCATTAGTCTTTCATGAAAAGTGGATTTAATTCATTGAACTATCATGACTGAGTTTTGATTTGTATGATATCGAATGGTCTCTCTGTGATAAGCATACCCTACATTAATATCCGAATTGCTTCAAATTTATCTTGCAAATTTTGGATAAAATAGAATACGCTAAAATCTGATTCTGAAAGGCTGCAGAATGTCAAAACCTATCTTTCAACAAATGGCTGTATATATTGATAATGTGAAAGCATGGCTAAATGACTTCTTTAGCTCGACTTAAGCTGACGATACCCTTCTATTCTGTGGGGATCGACAGATCAGTCCCGTTTCCCTAATTATTTTCTTTTCTATCACCTCACACTTGTGTTCTTCTCCCTCAAACAGCCTGTCGTCATGCTTTCTAAAGAAATGATTAATTTGGTATTTGGTAAAAAGTTTTTTTCCTCCACTCATAAGCTGGGCTTCCTAGCCTTATAATCCTTTTACAAATAACACCTAGACCTTTTCTATGTTTCATATTTACAATTATACCCCTCAAAATAAGATATAAATCTCAACACTCCCCCTCAAGATGGGTAAAAGATATCCACTAAGCCCATCTTGTCACATAATCTAGACAAATCTAATGAACCAAGTTCTTTAGTGAGGCAGTTAGCTACTTGCTCTCCAATGACTACATGACTTAGCTCTAGTAGCCCGTTATTCAGCTTTTCCTTGATGAAGAATCTATCAATCTCCATATGTTTGGTTCTGTTGTGTTGAACTGTGTGGTTGGCAATACTAATTGCTGGCTTGTTATAACACAACAACTTTATTTGAGTGTCTTGATCCACCTTAAGCTCAACCAACAAGGCTCTCAACAACATCATCTCGACAACTCAAAGGTCACGACCCTGTACTCTGCCTCTGCTATTGATCTTGCTACTATAGATTGTTTCTTGCTCTTCCAAAAGACTAAGTTGCCATCAATGAACATGCAGTATCATGACATAGATCTTCTGTTATCTGCACAACTCACACAGTCAACATCACAATAGCCCTCAATGTCTATGTGCTCGTTCTTCGTATAGACCAGCCCATTCTCGGCGCACTCTTCAGGTAACTCAGAATCTGATACACCGGGTCCATATGATCATTCCTTGGATAATGTATATAGTGACTCACCACGCTCACCGCAAATGAGATGTCGAGACACATGTGACTTAGACATATCAGATGACCCACCAATCTCTAATATCTTTCACGATCAACTGACTCTCCTGCCTCTGCATTCAACTTGGTCTTCTGATCAATTGGAGAGACTGCAAACTTGCATCTCAACATGTATATTTCTGTGATGAAAACGAGTACATACTTTCTCTGAGAAAAGACCATCTCCTTTGGCCTACGAGCCAACTCAATCCCAATGAAGTATATGAGCTGTCCAAAGTCTTTAACCTGAAAATCTTTACTCAATCTAACATTTAGTTAAACAATTTCTGTCTCATCATCACAAGTGATAATCATATCATTCATATACACAACAATTATAGTGACGTGACAACAAATTTTCTAAACTTGTTAGAACAGACTCGAGGAGTTTGCTTCATTCCATAAAGCGACTTCCTGAGCCTGCACACCTTGCCCACTGTCTGACATATACCGAATCCTAGCGGTATATCCATATACACCTCTAAAGTAACTCACCATAAAGAAAAATATTCTTCACATCAAGTTGGAGTAATCTCCACCCATCATTCACAGCCAGAGAAACCAACGACCTCACTGTTATCGTCTTCTCTACCAGTGCAAATGTCTTGTCATAATTAATGTCATATGTCTGACTGTAGCCGTTCACCACCAATCGTGTCTTGTAACACTCCACTTTTTCTTCTAGATTTTATTTTACTGTGAAGATCCACTTGCCCCCAACCGTTCTTTTCCCCGCTGGTAATGATCCCAACTCTCACGTCCTATTCTTATCGAGAGCACCAAATTCCTCTAGCATGACAATCTTCCACTTTGGATCCTCTTTAGCTACCTGCCAACACTTGGGTGTGGAGAAAATAATATGCAATAAATGCTATGTATACAGTATGTTAGAGTAGAAGACAAACTGAGCAATATCATGTGAGAAACTAAAACACAGAAAAATAACGATTAGAAGAATGACCCGCATTATTGCGAGAGATCCTCCTTGAAGCCATGACAGTGGGAGAAGAAGAGAGAGGAATCATATCACCTGAGTAATCAGGTTTTGAAGTGGAAAGTGTAGGTGTATTAGGAGTCAGGATAGACTAGGACAAGGGACTTGATGACACAAGTGGCACGGCAGACACTGTTCCCGAACTTGATGGAACGAGTGGCACCGCAGACATTGTTTTTTCATTCTGCCTCCTCCTTGTATACGCTCTCAGCTCCCTCCGAGCTTGACTCCCTCCACCTTCAAGCTCATTTTCCTCATTTTTTTGGCTCTTCCTCAACTGATCCTTCCCACGCAACGGGTGTAGGCACTGTTCCCACATGCAACAATCTCCGACCATCATTACTTCACCCCTCATGCCTCATACCGCCAGTATCATGAGTCACTAAAGCGTGAGGTCACCTTCAGAGGGTAGTACGGTTCGAACTCTCTAAAAGACACATCCATGCTCATAAACAATCTCTTTTTTTATCAAACTTCAACAAACATAAACATTCTTGGTAGCATAATAACCAATGAAAACATAATTCACAGCTCTAGGACCAGTTTCCCTACTTATGATCTATTGTCCTTCACAAAACATAACAACAAAAAATTTTCAATAGAAAGATTTTACTA